GTGCTCTGCTTCGGGCGGGTAATCACCATATCGTGAACCTGCGAATAGAGTTCGATGACGCTCGCACGGCTGCGCTGGGTGATGAGCTCCATTCGGGTACTGCTACCTGCCGACCATTGAGATGAAGCGTCTCACCTAGCCATATTATTGAGGCATGTGGCTTCATCAGCAGGCTATCGAAGCGGAGAAAGGTCTTATCACTGCTTCGCTGGTGTTTGGACGCGCCACGATGGCGGCAGCATATCTCATCAGCGAGGGATACAGCACAGAAGAGGCCTTGGACCTCATTCGCAGGACGCGCCCTTTCATTAACCGACACCAAAGCAATACAAGACTAGCGATTCGAGTGAGGAGATAGGGAGGGATTGACACTGAGTGATGACTAACTATTCACCGGGCGTGCATAACCGATGACTGCCCCACCTGATAGCCCACAACCACATCTTTATCCATTGCACTTGAACGAATGATGCCAGTGGAAGTATGATCTCATGACCTAATGGCATTGCCCGGAATTACCTGATTTTTGCACCAGATGCTCCAGAGCACCTCATCGTCCACTGGAATCTTGTCAATCACTAGATCCCGGCCAACCTCTGCCTCGTTCAGGCGAATGACTCCCCTTTTTGCACATAATCTGTGCCCGGTATCGGATACCCGAACGGCGAGGTCGTCGGCATTGCCCAGCTTCTTCATGATGCGCTCTTCCAAGTAGGGAGATATCGCATGCTCCAGCAGGTGCGCCTCCACATGAGCGCGGTGTAACTCCACATCAAGCATATCTACGACCATGCCTCCGCAGTCGGTGCCTTCGTACTATGCTCTCTGCGTGCCGTGTGCCTTTCCGTGTCAGGGAGAGTTGCCGCTTCGAGTCTACGGCAATCAATCCTTCACGTCAGACGCCGAATCATTCCTCCCACCGTCGGAAGTGAAGTCCCCAACCCTTCGCCTTCTGGCAGCACCTTCAAGTGCTCCGCAAGTTGCGTCAGCGTAACCAACGCGTCCTCTTCATCCAGACGATAGATGGACAGCAGATAGTTTTCCGCCGTCATAGAAAGTCTTTGCCGGGACGGTGGCAAATTGTCGGATTTTGATTTGATGTTGGCCTTGGCTCTCGCCATATTGATGCCTCGATCAGTAGGCCTAAAAATGTCAGATTCAACTTTGAGATTACCATCACGCCGCGACACAAGTCAATCTTGCTAATCCTGACGTGCGCGAGGTGGGCGTCGGCTGCCGATTTACCATAAACGACAACGGAGTAAATCACATGGTCAACGGGGTTCAGCATCCTGCTGATTGCCGAACTCTGTTGATCACTACCTCATGAACGCAATAAAAGGCGTTGAATCAACTGGCGTCAGAGTAATTTGCTCACCCTTCGAAAAGCCGGAGTATCTAGGCAGACGGCATCTTAGTGCCGTGCCACTTGGAGTCCGCACAGCTAGCATCGTATCGCCTCCGCGATATTCCAGCGCCTCTACGCAACATATCCCTGCATCGTCGGATTCGGGTTTCAGGTCTTGAGGGCGCACCACCAGCGTCAACACGGTGCCGTCCGCCAGCTTGCCTTCGCCGCAAGTGTAAGGTAGGCTGCCCAATTCCGTCTCGGCGACATTGCCGCGCACCACGCCCTGAAGGAAATCGCAGTCCCCGACGATCCGTGCGACTTCAGGACTCACGGGCGCCTGATATAGCGCGTACGGAGCGTCAATCTGCTCAAGCCGTCCGCCGCTCATCACACCGACACGGTCGGCGAACGCGAACGCTTCTTCCCTGTCGTGCGTGACGAAGATGGTGGCAACCCCCTTGCTTCGCAGTATCGCCTCAACTTCCTGTCGTACCTCCAGGCGCATTCCTGCGTCAAAGGTTGCTGAACGGCTCGTCCAGAAGGACTGCGATAGGAGACGGCGCAAGCGTCCGGGCAAGCGCTACGCGCTGCTGCTGACCACCTGAAAGCTCATGCGGATATCGAGATTCAAACCCGTTCAGACGAACGAGATCCAGAGCGTCTTGAGTGCGGCTGCGCTGCTCACCTTTCGACATGCCGTGAAGCCCAAACGCGACATTCTCCGCCACAGTCAGATGGGGAAAGAGAGCGTACTCTTGGAACACCATGCCGACATTTCGCCTCTCAGGGGGCACGTAATGATCAGAATCAGATACCAGACCAGCCTGAAAACGCACTTCCCCGTCGTCCAGTCCCTCGAAGCCTGCGATGATCCGCAACAGTGTGGTCTTTCCACAGCCACTCGCGCCCAGTATAGACAGCACTTCGCCCGGCATGAGGCGGAAACTCACATCGTCCACCGCGAGCAAGTCCCCAAAGCTCTTCGTCGCACCTCTGCACTCGATTAGTGGGGCGGTCATGCCGGCGTCCTCTGCTCAGACTGGTCTAGAGCATTCAGGAAGTGCCGCTCCACCCGTCCCGTGAAGAGCATACCTCCCATGAGCATAAGCCACACGACGAACAGCACGCCGGTGATCTGATGAACGGCGATAGCGGCATCCAGCCAGATGATCTGCATGGCTGCTCCAAGGAGCGCGGATATGGGCGCAATGAGCCTCAGAGTCCCTCCCACCTTCCACTGATAGCGCGACTCGGCAATCAGCGCCAGACCAGCCATCGTAAAGCCTACCTTCCCTGCCATCCACCTGAATGACGCTATCACCTCAGTTGAGGGGCTGGGTGCGCCAAATGCGACCATATCCGGCGCTGTCGCCGCCAGTACAACGGCGCAAAGGCCGGACAGGGCGGTGAAAATCCCGGATATGATGAACAGCGCAGGCGCGAGAGGTGTACTGAAACGCTCCCGAATTATCCATGTCTTCAAAAGCATGGACGCTCCCCCTACCAGAGCCGCCCCGGATACCAATCTTGCCAATCCACCGATTCCATAGGCGAAAACGTTCTCCGAAATGGCAGTGAGCGACCCCATTACGTGGGCTGGTCTGCATCGGCGGAGACACGCCCCACAACTGCAACAACAGTGGCTATCGCTGCGAGGGCGAGAAGGATACCCGCCCAACGCGCGGCGTACTCAGCGGTTCCCATGCCCTTAGCGCTCATGCCAGATTGCTCTTTTCGCGCAGTACGAGCAGCGTCATCGGCACGGAGGACATCAAGATAATCATCAGAGCGGGCGCCGCCGCTTGAGCGAAGAACGCTTCAGAGGACGCCGCCCATACGGATGTGGCGAGCGTTTTGAATCCCAGAGGTCCCAGTATCAGGGTGGCGGGCAGCTCTTTCATCGTCAGCAGAAAGACCAAGGCAGCACCCATCATTACACCGGAGCGCATAAGTGGCAGAGTAACGCGCATCACCACCCGCAGCGGATTGTGCCCAAGGCAGCGCGCCGCATCTTCCAGACGTGGGCTGATTTGCATCAGCGCAGAACGTACTGAGCCGAGAGCGACCGGGAAGAACAGCACAGCATAGGCGAATATCAACAGCCAATGCGTCTGATATATCGGGCGCGCGTACTGCGCTCCGAAGAATACCAGCGCCAGCGCGACAACAACGCCCGGTAGCGCGTAGCCGGTGAAACTGATTGGCTCAAGTATGCGGTTCAGCTTCGTCGGATAGCGCACCAGAAGAACCGCCATTGCAATCGCCATCCCAGCGGTAACCAGGGCAGCGGCACCCGACACAAGCAGTGAATTCCGCGTTGCGCTCCAAAGCAGGAGCAGCGGCTCACCTGCACCAATCCCTCGCAGCAGCCAGAATACAAGGACGCTAATCGGAAGAACCAGCGCGAGCATCAGTACGATCCCCATTGCGGTCATGACTGCCCACTTCCATCGCCCCAGCTTCACTATCGCGGGCTTGCGCGCCGAACCCGCTCCGGAGCGAAAGTACCGTCCTCGCCCCCGAGTGTAGTTCTCAAGGAGCAATATGACGACTGCCATCAGCACTAACACGAACGACAACACAGCCGCAACTGAGCGGTCGATAGATCCTTCATATTGCTGGTAAATGGCGAATGTGAAAGTGTTATATCGCAGCAGAGCGACCGCGCCGAACTCGCTGAGTGTGTAGAGCGCCACCAGAAGTGACCCCGCAGCAATGGAAGGCTTAAGTTGCGGCAGCGTTACACGGAAGAATGTTCTCCAAGAACCGTACCCAAGACCGCGAGATGCCTCTTCAGTCGCAGGGTCGAGATTAACGATGGAGCCTCGTACAGTGAGGAATATGTAAGGGTAAGAAAGCAAGGTCAGCACGGCAGTCGCGCCCACCAGTCCATACATGTCGGGCAGGCGCTCGACGCCAAACGCTAATTCGAGAGCGGATTGGAGCAGACCTTTCGGTCCCAGTGCGGAGATGTAGAGGAATGCGCCCACGAAGCTCGGTATCACCAGGGGCAGTGCCGCCAGCACAGTCCACGTCTTGCGAAACGGGAGGTCAGTCCTCAGTGTCAGCCAAGCGAAGGGAACGGCAATAGCCGCCGACAGGGTCGTGACGCAGCCAATCAGCAGCAGCGTGCGCCCAAGCGTTTGCAACGTTCGCAAACGGAACAGCAAGTCCCACGCCTGATCACTCGCGCTCGCCCCCCTGATGAGCAAATAGATGATCGGAAGCGCCATCGCCGCTCCGACCAGCAGCGCGGGAACCAGCGCAAGCATAGGAGGCAGAGACAGCGCCGCGCGCCGCCGACCAGCAATTACTGCCCATCCGGCGGCGCCCACGCTATGCGAAAGTCTGTCTAACGCAACCATCTATATCTAGTCTGTTCTCGTCTCTAAGGGCTAACTCTACCGATGAGACATTTACTGAAGAATACCAAGGTCACGCAGCAATATCTGCGTGCCAGCAAGGTCATCCAGAGACGCCATATCAATGTCCGGGTTGTTAATCTCCTCAAGCGGCGTGAGGATGCGATTTGTCTTTACGCCGTCGACCAGTGGATACTCATAGGTCTGTCCAGCGAAATACTGCTGAGCCACTCGCGAAAGCATGAACTTGAAGAAGCGCTCGGCATTGTCCTTGTTTTCCGCCGTCTTCAGGATACCGCCGCCCGCCACCAAAACGATACCGCCTGGTCCGCCGCCGGACACGTGGTAGTTACGCGCCCGGAAATCCTCGCCCTCTTCCGCCAGGAAACGATGCAGGTAGTAGTGGTTCACGAACCCTACATCCACCTCGCCTGCCGCAGCCGCAGCCACAGTCGGTGTGTTCTTCGGATACACCTTCGGCTCGTTTGCCTGAACTCCGAGCAGCCATTCCCGCGTCTTGTCCTCGCCCCACACCACGCGCATTGCCGTAACCATCGCCTGGAATGAGCCGTTAGTCGGCGCCCAGCCAATGCGACCCTTCCATTCCGGCTTCGTGAAGTCCTCCATGGAAGTAGGTATTTGTTCCTTTGTTAGATTGTCGGTGTTATAGACGACCACGCGCGCCCTGCCCGGAAATGCCGATCCACTGGCTCTCAGGTGAACGTGCCCATGTCGGAACCTTCTCCGTAATGCTTGTCGGAAGCGTCTCGAACATGCCTGCATTCGCTACCTCGCCGAGACCGCCCGGGTCCTGCGCAAAGAATACATCGGCAGGTGAGTTCTGCCCCTCCTCCAAAATTGTCGCAGCTATCTCACCGGTCGAGCCGTACTTCACCGCGACGTTGATGCCCGTAACTTCCTCGAACTGCTCTATGATAGGTCCCACCAGGGATTCGCTTCTGCCTGAGTAAATTACGAGAGAGCCGGGATCTCGGTCCCGCACCACCTCTATAATTTTCTCGACCTCCACCACCCTCTCAACAGGCACTTCCCTGATTACCTCTTTCTCCACCACCACCAGCTTCTCAACAGGCACTTCCCTGACAACTTCCCGCACCGTCTCCACAGGAACTGCCTTTTCCACTATCCTTTCAACCTCGATAATCTGCGGTACAACCGCCGCCGGGGCAGTGCCGCACGCCGCCACCGCAAGCGTTGCAACGATAAATGCAATGAGCAGATACGCCCTATGATGGAACACCTCTAATATACCTCCATCTCAAGCACTGCTTCGTAACAGCTCAACCGCACATTTAGCGGCTCTGAACACTATCACTAACAGCCTGAGTTAATATGCACTAATCCATAAAACTTGTCAATAGATTTGCCTTTGAGTGCCGTGTACTAATACAGGGGTAATGCCATCAAATACTGTTTATCTACGCACACAGCAACAAGGCGTTTCAGGAGTTTGTTTGCTTGTTCGACCGACCCCCCTCTATTGGGAGGGTAAAGGGGGGCCGGCCACGAGAAGGGAAGAGTCAATATAATGTTGTCCCTTGCCGCACCACCTTAGCGCGGCGTATATGGCGGTTCACGGCACCGTATTGTCTTCTTAACACCGCCGTTGCTCCAAAAGTCGCGCTCACCGGTGCGCGTTGGAATGGTATCGCCGAAGGGCAGCAAGCCCTGAAGCGGCTCATCAAGCCCAACTAGATACGCTGGAGCACAGCACTTTGCTCTATCACAGGTTTCACGCGAATGACGTCTTTCATTGACCCTTTTGTCCTGTGCCGTACCACGCCTAATGGCCTCGGAATCGTTAAAGGCATGTCGGATGCTGCCACTGATGACAACCCCGCGAAATGCGCTGACGCTCTCATGAGCGCACTCGGGCAGGGTCTGTAGAAAGCAGGTATCGCGTTGACCGTATGTCATATGAGTTGTATTGCCTGATAGTTTCAGTTATCTATATAGCATCTCAATTATTAGTCTATACTAATTACAGGACACAATATACACACATGTTAGTGATGCGTCAACACATTTTGCAGTCAATTCGCATACAAATCACATTTGTGAGACGCGCAAAAGAGCCACACTCCCTGTATTGCAGGGGGCGTGGCTCTCAGTTGTCTCCTACGACTAACGCCGGTCAGCTATGGCTCCACGGTTATCTAAGTCGAATTCTATGCTGTGGTTGTGTCCGCTTTTAGTTCGCCCCGGCTGCCGGCGTCGCTCCGGCCGCCATCCTCGCCCCTAGACGCCCGTCCAGTATCAACAGGCCGCTGCCGTCGCCATCAATAATCCGCAGGTGGACCACAATCTCCTCAGCAACCTTCTCTTCCTCGACCTGCTCGATGATGAGTTCATGCAGCATCACCTGCGCCGCATAGTCGCTCTCCTCAATCGAAATCTGGTACATGCGATTGATGAGCGCAGTAACCTTGCGCTCGTGCGCCAGCGTGCGTTCCATGACATCAAGCGGGTTGCGGAAGTCCGAAGGCGGCGCATCGATAGCTTGCAGCGTTGCGCGCCCGCCGCGGTCATGCACATGGTCGAAGAAGCGCATCGCGTGCGCCGTCTCCTCTTCGTTCTGCATTCGCATCCAGTGGGCAAAGCCCGGCAGGTTCTCGTCCTCGAAGTATGCCGCCATCGACAGGTACAGGTACGCCGACGCGAGTTCCGCGTTTATCTGATCGTTGAAAGAATCCTGTAAATTTGCACTAAGTTTCATTTGAAATACTCCTTTTTCTGTGTGGTTTGGCGCTCTCTCAGGCGCTTAAATGTTCAACCTTGTATCTATGATTACATCGGCGGAAGGGCTAGTCCAGAGTTAACTCACAGATAATCGTGCCTGCAAATTGACACGATTGCTGCCATCACTCACGCTATTGGCTTATGCTTAACTACCCATTCGGCGATGATGCAGTCGGGGCTCATAGTTGACACACAGACTGATGAGTGTATATTGACTTTATTGATAAGCATAGGTTAGCGCCTTGGGTTTGCCTTTGGCCTGCGCGCCACATTGGCACTTCGCAGATTGCTGCGCCATCCTCTCTCACGATGCAGTTGGTTGCAGAATTGACTTACGTTACTCAAAGACAAGGGGACACACATGACAACTGAAATGATCAACAGCAGCGAAGTGACGGTACCCTCCACGCAGACGTCGGTGTATGAAGCCATTTTCGGCAGGCGCATGAGCAAGGAGTTCACCGATGCCGATGTGCCGCGAGAGGCGCTTGAGCGCATGTTCGACGCGGCTATCTGGGCGCCGAACCATCGCCTCACCGAACCTTGGCGCTTCTTCGTGCTGGAGAAGGACAGCCCTGGTCGTGAGCGAATCGCCGACCTTGTCTGGCAATACGCGTACGACAATGTCGCCAGTCCCAACGAGACGATAAAGGAGCACGTGGCAGACAACAACAGGAGCCGTATCACGGATGCGCCCACGCTTGTCTATGCCTACAGTGTGCCAGGTCCGAATGAGGAGACTACGCACGAAAACTATGCTTCCGTATGCTGCGCCATTCATAATATGGCACTTGCCGCAGTCGCGGAGGGTCTCTCACTGGACTGGAGCACGGGGACGGTAACGAGGCCCTCGAAACTCGCGGAGACGCTAGGCGCGGAAGACGACTGGGCGATGGTAGGCGCGCTGTTCATTGGCGAGCCTGCGGACGAACCCGTATCAATGCGCAGCGCAGCGCCGAACATAGTCTCGTGGCTGAAGTAGGTTTCTGAAGTAGGCTTTGGGGCCGCACACAGGAAATTGTGGATGCGAACCGTGGCTATCTATAGGTCGCGGGGAGGAAGATGGTACCCCTGCCCGGACTCGAACCGGGGCACACGGTTTAGGAAACCGTTGCTCTATCCTCCTGAGCTACAGGGGCGCATCCGATGATTGTACACCTAATTGTACACCTGTAAGCGGCCGCTTGTCAGTCATTATCACAAGCCCTATCATAAGCCCTATCCCATGAACGAGGCTCTGGAATCGTCAGGATCGATGCGCTCAGAATGACTGATAGACCCTGTTCCTGAAGTTGCAATTTTATTGACAGCAATAGGCGGCGTCGCTAGAATGCCGGGATTACACTCTTGTGGAGCGCACCAGGATATGGACGAGCTTGATGCCAAGATAATTGCGACGCTTCGACAGAACGGCAGGGCGTCCAACGCAGGTATCGCACGGAGCGCGGGGGTGAGCGAAGGCACGGTGCGCCGCAGGCTGCGCCGCCTCATCGACGAAGAGCACATCTTCGTAGCAGCTATCCCAAATCCCGCGATGATGGGCAATCCCTTCGAGGCGCTTATCGGCGTGTCAAGTGGACCCGGACAAAGCCGACTTGGTGGCGGCCGCAATGGCCGTGATGGATGAGCTATCGTGGGTTACGGTCAGCACGGGACCGTATGACATCTACGGCTGGGTGACTATTGCATCCCCATCGGCTCTGAACGACTTCCTCCGCACGAGAATAGCCGTCATTCCCGGCGTGCGGCGCACCGAGACCTACGTACATCTCGATGTTAAGAAGCGCTCATACGGAATCTCCACCTCATAACCACTGTCTTCCACGTACTGCTGCCCATTACCCTTAACTCTGGCCTGAAATCTGGCTCCCAAGCCTGTATAATTTCTGTACATTTGCGATTTCAAAGGGGGCAGACTTGCTTAAACCATCAGCTGCGGCGATGTGCGCGCCGAACATTTGGCAAGACGGTAACGCTGGCCGGCTGGGTGCATCGGCGCCGCGACCATGGCGGGCTAATCTTCATAGACCTGCGCGACCGCGAGGGCATCGTTCAGGTCGTTTTCAATCCTGACAACGCGCAAGACATCCACGCTATAGCGGAGTCGCTGCGCAACGAGTGGGTCGTACAGGTTACGGGCTACTGTAACCGCAAGGCCCGAAGGCACCGAGAATCCCAACATGGCAACGGGTGAAGTCGAAGTCTCCACCGAGCAGGTCAGGGCTGTCAACGAGTCTAAGACGCCTCCTTTCTACATCAACGAGGAGAGCGAAGTTTGACGAGCTGATCCGCATGAAGTACCGCTTCGCGATCTGCGCCGTAAAGTCATTGAGCGAGACACGCATCATCATGCGCACCGAGGTGGTGCGCTATCTCGCACAGCTTCCTGAGCGACGAGCTCTCGAAGTGGAGCCGCCATCTCATCAACAGAGCACGCCGGAGGGCGCACGGACTACCTCGTGCCGATAGCCGCACTACCCGGTCAGTTCTACGCGCTGCCGCAGTCACACGCAGCAGTTGAACAGCTTTGCTGGCCTGCGGGCGCGAGAAGTACTCCAGATTGCGCGATGCTTCCGAGACGAGGACCTCGCACGCGCCGAGCCGACAGCGGAGCATACGCAGCTCTGACCTGGAGATGAGCTTCGTCGAAGAGGACGTATGTGCTCTTTCACTCATCGAGGAGCTTTACACGAAGCTCGTAGAAGCGCTGTCCCGGAGAAGTGGATTATGCGCTTCCCGCGCAGGACATACGCGAGGCGATGGCGTCCTACGGGACGGACAAGCCGGACCTGCGCTTCGACCTCGACATGTCTGATCTGTCGGACATTGCGGCGCAGACCGACTTTCGCGTCTTCACTTCGACCGTGGAGGGCGGCGGTATCGTCAAGGGCTTCCGAGCGCCGGGCTGCGCCTCGTACTCGCGGCGGCAGACAGACGCGCTCATCGACTTCGCCAAGGCGATACGACCAACCTGTGGGCCTGGTAACTATAGCTCTCACGGGCGAGGGCGCGCTGACGGGCGAGGGCGACATAGACGACCTGACTGAGGACGGGATTCGCTCGGCGGCTGCGCGCTTCCTGACCGTGGAGCAGGTGAAGGCCATCGCGCACAGGGTCGAAGGCGAGATGGGCGACATGATCCTCATCGTGGCCGGTCCCGCGAAGACCACCAACCAAGCACTGAGCGCGCTGCGCAACGAGATTGGCGCGCGTCTTGAGCTTGCAGACCCGAACCTTATCGCATTTGCCTTTGTAACCGACTTCCCGCTGTTCGAGTGGAACGAGGACGCAGAACGCTGGGACGCGATGCACCACGCATTCTCCATGCCGAAGGACGGGCATGAGGCATACCTGGAGAGTGACCCGGGCAAGGTCATTGGGCGGCTGTACGACCTCGTTGCCAACGGGGCGGAGCTGGCGAGCGGCAGCATCCGAATTCACAAGCGCGAACTGCAGGAGCGTGTTTTCGGAGTCCTGGGATACACGAAGGAGGAGGTGGCGGAGCGTTTCGATCAGCTTCTCACCGCATTCGAGTATGGCACACCACCTCACGGCGGCATAGCGCCGGGCATTGACAGGCTGTTGATGGTGCTGACGGGACGGGACAATATCCGAGATGTCATCGCATTCCCGAAGACGCAGAGCGGTTTCGATCCGCTGTTTGAAGCGCCCAATGTTGTGGAACAGAAGCATCTCGATGAGCTGCACATCAGCATAAATGTTGAGGAAGTATAGTCCGTCAGCAGGTTAGTCTGACTGTCAGAGTAGCCGCGAGGAGCATGGAGGCACAGAGTGTCATCCTTGCGAGCGCTGGATTTCCGCGGCGGGAATGACTGTTTGATGGGGTAAGAGGACTGCTTGCTAGGGGCTGCGGTTGCGGTTGCGTTCGCGCTTGAGGCGACGCTCTTCTCTTTCGAGTCGCCTGTCGTCCTGCGCGACGGGCGAATAGCTCTGCTCCAGCCTCCAGGCTCGGTCTGCCCTTGCCTTGCGCTCCGCTGTCTCCGCCGCTCGCTCCAGTATCTCCTGCTCCCTTGCCCACGCCTCACGCTGCTCCTCAGTGGGAGGCGTGTGGCTCTGGATGACGTCCGGATGGTCTTCATCCAGGTCCTTGCAGACGCAGAGGCAGTCGGGGTGGCAGGGGCGTAGAACATCATGAAGTCAGGATCGGGCTGCGCAGGTGTTGCCAAATCCCCAGTGAAGCAGGACCTTGCCGCTTCTATCCTGTCCCGAGTCCTTGCGTCAGGGTCGTTTCCTTCCAGAATCTCGAGCAGGACTCTTACCATGCTCGCTCCGCCCTCTGAGTCACGCGGATGCGAGCGACGAGTTTCTTGTTCCCTTCTCGTGTTCAGGGCTGTGGGTGCTGGCGGGCTGTGAGCCATCCTGCGCCATTCGTCTTGCTGCGAGGCAGCATTGCGCTGATGTCCTGAACTGCCCAGGGCTTCCCTGGCTTCCTCGAAGCCGAGTCTGAGCAGGATGCGCGCCGACTGGAGGCGGTGGGAAGGCTTGCCGTCGGGGTCGTCGCCGTTCATGATGGAGACGAGGTTGCGGATGATGGTTCTGCCGCACTTGCGTCTCTTCGAGGACATGCGCTGGATGCGCTGAAGGGTATCTATGGGGATGTGCTGCGTATCTGCATCCGTTGCTGTGCATGGTTTCAATCATATGTTCTGATTATAGGTGCGAATGTGTGGGTTGTCAAGGGTTGGAAGTAGGTCAGCTTTCAGTTCGTCAGTCGGTCGGTGTCCTTCGACAAGACCTTCGGCGAGGTCAGGACAGGCTCTAGCCTTCCACCATCAAGGGCTGACAGGGGTAGGTATTGAAAGTAACCGTGCCTGCATTTGCGACTTCACCCCCATCCTAACCTTCCCCCATCGAGGGGGAAGGGACAATATGGCTCACATCAACACGTGCCAACAATACCAAGCTTCAAGTGTCAGTTCGTAGGTGGGATTTGGCAAGCTTACCGCGAGCGGAGAAGCGAGTGAGATTGTTATTCCGCGAGCAAGAAAGCAGCCAGAGAATACTGCGAATGACACATTGGGGTTTATCCATTATTATAGGGGAGGCGCCGCGACTCCACGATGCTAATTGCGGCTGGGAGCGGGAATCCCCCATTAACTGATACTTGAGGAGAGGCTGTTGCAGCAAATTGATACGGCGCGAGGAACCGCCCAGCTAATAGTGGACAATGTCAAACGCGTGATAATCGGCAAGGACCAGGCAATCGAACTGGGCGTGATCGCGCTAATGTGCCAAGGTCACGTCCTTATAGAGGATGTGCCGGGTGTCGGCAAGACGATGCTCGCCAGAAGCCTCGCGCGCTCAGCAGGCTGCTCTTTCAAGCGAATACAGTTCACCCCGGACCTGTTGCCGACTGATGTGACAGGGGTGTCGATATTCAACCAGAGGAGTGGGGAGTTCGAGTTCAGGCAGGGAACAATCATAGCGCAGCTCGTGCTGGCAGACGAGATCAACCGCGCGACTCCGAAGACGCAGTCCGCCACGCTCGAGGCGATGGAGGAGCGGCAGGTTACGGTCGAGGGCATAACGCACTCGGTGCCGACGCCGTTCATGGTGATGGCTACGCAGAACCCCATCGAGTATGAGGGGACATTCCCGCTGCCGGAGGCGCAGCTCGACCGCTTCTTCGTGATGATTTCGCTTGGCTACCCGTCCGCAGAAGAGGAGATCAGGGTTATCAACGGGCAGCAGGTTGGACATCCGATAGAAAACCTGCAATCGGTCACGTCTGCCGAGGAAATCCAAGAGATGCAGCGGGCTACTCGCGAGGTGTATGTGGACGACCTTATAAAGGAGTACATCGTGACGATCATAAGCGCGACGAGGGGACACCCTGACATCGCGCTAGGGGCATCGCCGCGCGGGTCACTGTTCCTGTTCAGGGGGGCGCAGGCGCTGGCGCTGATTCGCGGGCGGGACTATGCGCTGCCGGATGATGTCAAGGAGCTTGTTGTGCCCATCATGAGGCACCGGATAATCGTGTCTGCCGCCGCCAGGATGCGGGGCGTTGACCCTGCCCAAGTAGTGAGAGAAATCGCCGACAGCATACCCGTGCCTGGGGCGCAGGCGCAGGGCTGGTTTAGGAGCTGACATTATCTACGAGACAAAGGCTTATCTGCTAGGGCGGTTCTATCTAATTGTTTCGCTGTGTGTTACGACCGTAATAACGGGCGCTGCCACGGGTTTCGGGCTGTTCTACCGGCTCTTTTATATCCTGGGCTTAACGCTAATACTTGGGTATATCTGGAACGCCATCAGCTTGAAGTCGCTCGAAGTCAGCGTTGACAGGCGTACGCGACGTGTGCGTGTTGGGGACAATGTAGAAGAGCGCATCACTATTCGGAACATGAGCAGACTGCCCAAGCCCACTCTTGAAGTGGAAGACCTGACGGACTTGCCCGGATATTCCAGCGGCATGGCGGTGAGCCTTCCGACGAAGGGATTTCGCTCATGGCGCACTCAGGCGCCCGCCCGCACGCGCGGGGTCTATACTCTGGGGCCGGTGCGCGTATCAAACACTGACGCATTCGGCATGTTCCGACGCGAGAGTTTCTTCTGCGACACGGACCAGCTTATTGTCTATCCGCGCACGCATTATATTCCGGAGTTCGCGATACCCGCCGCAGACTTGTCGGGCGACAGTTCCACGCGGCGGCGCTCGCACGATCTGACGCCGCATGCGTCGAGTGTGCGGGAGTATGCTTTCGGCGACAGTATCAGCAGGATTCACTGGGGCAGCACGGCAAGGCTGGGCAGGCTGATGTCGAAGGAGTTCGACCTTGGGCAGTCCAGCGATGTGTGGATTCTGGTTGACTTGCACCGCGATGTGCAGGCGGGAGAACTGGATGAGAGCACGGATGAATACGCGGTGTCTATCGGGGCGTCGCTGAGCAGAAAGTATCTCGAAGCGGGCCTGCCCGTCGGTTTGATAGCGCAGGGGGACCAGCGATACTTCCTGCCTGCGGACACGGGCATAGGGCAGTTCGACCGCATCCTGGAGTTTCTGGCTCTCAGCAAGTCGGAGGGCGGCGTGGCGCTGGAGACGCTGTTGGCTCAGGAAGAGCAACTATGGGGCTATCACAGTTCGCTGATAGTCATCACGCCCTCGAACCGTCCCGACTGGGTTGTGGCGCTACGGGAACTGATGCGCCGCCGGGTTCGCGTGGCGGTGGTGCTGCTGGACGGCGCGTCGTTCGGGGGATTTTTCAACACGGTTGATGTTGTTCCGCACCTGTATCTCGCGGGCATACCGCCGTACCTGGTGCAAAAAGGCGATGATATTCCGGTCGCGCTGAGTCGCGTGTACACAAGCGCCGAGGTGGAGGGGTCGGAGCAGTTGGAAGCGACGGAGGTTCAGGTATGAGCAGCGAAGCGATTACTACCGTCCTGCCGCCGCGAGTCGAGTCGACGCAGGAAGAGCGTCTCTGGCTGCTGAAACTATATGACAGGTTTCATCCCAGCCAAGGATGGGGAAGCTTTGTAATTCTGCTACTGGCGCTGATGGTGATCGGCATGTCGGTGGAAGACGGGAGCTGGGTGCCGGCACCGGGGCTGTACTCGCTGCTATTATTGTCCGCGATTACAGGGCTTGGGCTCGCCAAAGTACGCATCCCTGCAGCGTTCCTGCATCCAGTAGGGCTTGCCGTGGGCGCGGCGCTTGCTATCTGGCGGGCGGTGGAGCTTTCCGATGAGACCGGAATCTCTGCAGCGCTGCCGGAGATGTGGGGGAGGCTGGCTGTCTGGTATGAGGCGGCGACGAATGACGGGATTTCGACGGACCTGCTGCCGTTCACACTTCTGCTGCTGGGAATGTCGTGGCTGATAGGCTACTTCAGTTCGTTCTTCGCATTTCGCGTCAGCAATGCATGGGTTACCGTGGTCATCGGAGGCGTAGCCATTCTGACGAACCTGAGTTTCCTGCCTCCAACGCTCGCCTTTTCTTCGAAGTTCTTCCTGTTTACGCTGCTGGCGATGCTGCTGGTGGTGAGGCTGAACGATGTGCAGAACGAGCAGCGATGGCGAATGCGCGGTATTCGGTTCGAGATGGTGAACGGGTGGCTGACGATGCACGGGGCGATCTGGTTCGGGGTGCTGGTCATGCTGATTGCCGCGATTCTGCCGCTGAAGGTATATGTTTCGCGGGACCTCGCGGAGTGGTGGAACACGGCGCGCTCGCCCATAGCGAGCCTTGAGGAGGATGTGACGAGGCTGCTGGCAGGCATACCATCGAGGAAGGATGTGCCGGGCAGATTCTTTGGCAAGACGCTGCCATTCATCGGGGCGATCTCGTTCGGCGGCGAGGCGGTGTTCTGGGCTAGCTCGGAGTATCCGTCATACTGGCTGTCAGATACTTACAGTGAGTACACTTCGCAGGGCTGGAAGGCGGGCGAAACGACGAAGTTGGAGGTGGGGCGAAATACCGTGCCGCCGCCGCGACCGGAGTGGCTAAAGCGGGCGGAGTGGAGCAAGACGGTACAGCTTACTCGACAGCGACAACTTTCTCGCGGGTGGCGACCTGGACTGGTTGAGCACGAACGCCGTGGTGGAGACGCTACGGACGGCCGAAGGAATTCCGTGATCAGTCTGCAGACCCTGGACTCGGATGCCGAACTTCCGGCGGATATTCAGCGAGTGCGCAGTCAATCAGGATGAGGGCGAGCCGCCTCAAGCGTTGTGGAGAATCGTACATCTCCCGATGCTACCGAGCGATCTTGTGCTGACAGCGTGTCGTGGCAAACGAGCCGGCAATGCCGGGCGGGATGCTGGTGCAGAGCTGATCATCGAGCGCAAGGCTTTTTAATTCCGTTCCGCATAACCGAATAGATATAACATCAAATTAAATGCAGATTAATTCCTCCTCCCTCTGCTCCTCTCTCGCTTCTCTACGCTCGTGTCGACGTTCGCCGGCCGCGGCCGGCAGCCCCTCCTCACGCATGTTTCCTTTGTCTCCGCTGGCGACAGATGAAGAGTGCGGACGCGAGGTTACCGGACTACGACTCCTTCCTCACGCTCACTACCTGCCGCTTCCTGCGTCGCTGACGGAGCGCGTGCGCCAGAAGGCTGCCGATTCTCTGACGGCGGGCAGGATAACCCGTAGGATAAAGCCGTCGCAAATTTCCGATGACCTCAGAGGCAGAGACATTCATAGTATTCGCAGGACATCGGGCCTACGCCGCGTGATATGGACGCGTGGACTACTTCCGGCTCGAGACACAGACGGGAGACAGTGACGGATACAGTGACTACTTCGCCTGCTTCGCTGGCGTGGTGATGCTGCGAGCCGTTGTGGTGGCCATCGCGACTTGCTGCGGGGGTATGCACCGGGCGAGTACTGATCGGAGCACAATGTGCGCGTGGTACGCGACCGCGACAGCCACGTGCAGGTCTTCTTCTGCCTACGGCTGGGTTGACTGTCGTTGCCGACGCCGAGGTGGGCAGTGGATGAGAGGCGCTTTACTGCCGCTTCGGAGTCAGAATTCGGGCTTTCGAGCGAGGCTCCGGCGACATTACTGACCGTCAGTCTCGACCCGTTCGATGAGATTGGCATGCCCGGGCTGGGCGGATTGGGCAGCGGTCAACATTCGGCAGAATGCGCTGCTGAACATCAACTGGGTTACGGTGGAACTCGCGAGGTATCGCAGTGCGCGGCGCGGCTATCTGGGTGCGCTGTACTGGTTGTTGAACCTGGATGCGTGGGCTGTCGCTGTGGAGAGAGCATACACACGATGAACAGGATGGGGATGATAGCGGGACAAAGAGGCGCGCGGACCAGACGCCTCACGAGTACGCAGCGATGCTTTCGGGCAGCTGGGTGAGCGGCTCCGTCCGCACGCAGATCGCCGAGGAGTTTGCAGCCATACGCTTACGGAGGACACCGCCCGAAGATGAAGAGGCGACGAGATGGAAAAAGGCATGGCGCAGCATCCGGGGCGTGCTGATAGGGCGCGCATCAGAAGGCTGCTGCCCCGGAGGAAGCCAAGGATGACGAAGAAGACTACTATGACATATTCGAGACGCCTGCGGGCTGGAGGGGTCTTGTTGCGTCGGACAAGGATTGCGTCGCACGACTTTGCCGCAGGCGTTCCGGAGGATGCATAGAGCAGTTGGGCCAACCGATTACGGAAGGAGAGCCCTTCGCCGCGCACTTCGAGGATATCAGGGATAAGCTGGTGCGCTACTTCGAGGGCGAAGAAGAGGTGAGTTTCGAGGACGAACCCATTGATGTGGAGGACGCGTCCGCCGTTTCACCGAGCCGCATGGCATGCTTGTCGCACGATTCCGAAGGGTGAGACGCGCACAACAAGTGGTGGCTCGAGCAGGCTGGCAATGCGCTGGCGCCGAGGGCGGCGGGACAGGCACTGGCGAAGTAATCGGCTTGCCATCATCATTGCCTGCCACCGCGTGATCGCGCGCGACGAAGCCTGCGCGGATTCGGGTAAGGGTAGGGAGCGCTCGACCTGAATCAGAGAGGCTGCTCGCTGTAGAGCTAAGCGCGCGATGGGTGTTGGCGTTATGCTGCCCGCAGTGCGTCTTGCCTTCAGCATCCTAACCCCGCTTTCGCTGGGCGCATGCTCTTCCCCCAGCGAGGGGAAGGTGAGACTTTGAGCGTACATTATTGGCACGCTCTTTGCCTATTCACCTACCCTCCTGTACGCCCATCAAGGGGTAAGGAACCTCTGTTAGCTCGCGCTGCGTGCGGCAACTAACTGCGCTTCTCCGAACTCGCCCCGAGTCACGCTTCGCTATTGAGCCGCTCCACAAGTTCGGGTTGCCTGATGAGACGCTGACCTGCGGCCACTCCATTTCGACGATATGCTGCGGTGTAATCTCCAGAGCTAACTTCGCATCGCACGGTATCCATGAGGAGACTCCTGTACATCGTAAAGCATTCGCTTAGCGTGCTCAGGCTCGCCTTCGCTGATTCGGAGCAGGAGGCGATGGATTTCATCACCTGCGCCGATGAATGGCGTTGGATAATGGCGTTCATAGGGCTGGAAGGTAGCGAACTCGCGCCGTTGCCGTTCTGTCTGGCATGCCCGTTCGTCCCTTGTGCTGGCCCGCTGACGGCGACTGGGGTAGCGCTACTTCGT